GGTGTGCCGGCTCGGCCAGTGGGCGGACACGCCGGCGTCGTGTGGGACGGGCCCGCGGCGGCGCGGCGGCGCAGGGCGGGGGTGGGAGGTAAACAAGATGGCGGTGAAGTGTTGGGTGCGGAAGGGGGAGGCGGACCCGGACTCCCGCGAGTGAGGCGGGGGTACGGACGGCGGCGGCGGGGCCGGGCGGCACCGCGTCCGCCTTGCATGGGCTGGGTCTCCGCCTCGCCCCTCCTGCTCCACGCGCGCGGCGGCAGCGGCTGGGGACGTGCCGCCCGGGCCCCGCTGCCTTGGGAACCCCTTGCCCGGTGCCTGTGGCCTGTTCCGCCTCAGCCTCCCGCAGTCCTACGGGCTCCCCAGCGCTTCGAGGGCTGCAGCAGACGGCGTTCGAGGCGCAGAGCGAGCGCGGGCTGCCGTTTGGAGCGGGGGGCGCCCGCGAGGCCGCTTTGGGGGTCCCAGGCCGATTTGAGGGTGCCCCGGCGGCCGGCTCCGACGGAAGTTGCTCTCTTTGGCAGGAGGGCCCCAGGCGGCCTCCCAACACGCGCCCGGAGCTCGCCGCAGCGGACCGAGCCGGATAGGCACCTGCCGCTTCTCGGGGAGTCTAGGACAGTGAGGCCACCGGAGACGCCTCGGCCCCCAGCGAAGCTTATCTGCCCAGCTTTGCGGGCTCCGGGGCCTGCCGGGGCTCCGGGCGCGCGCTGCTGCTGGCTGGTAATGGACGACCCGGAGAAGACTTGGTTTGGCCGCGTCCGTTTTTGCCTGAGGGTCTAAAGTCCCTAGAGGATGACCTAGCACTTCGCAACCCCACCGGCCTTCCCAGGGTCCCTGTGGACACGCCGGCCCGACCTGGAGCTGCCAGGTCGGGTCGCACTTGCGACGCTGCTCCCCGTCGGATGCCCGGGCCTCGGACCAGGCACGCCTCTTGAACTCACGTTTAGTACAATCGTTTCTTTTCGAAGAAGGGTTTTTCTCTCTTTCTTTTTTTCCTTTTGCGTTTTTGTTGACTTTACTTTTTCTTTCTTTTCTTTTTCTTTTCTTTTTTTTTTTTTTTTTTGAGAAGGGAATCTGGGGTAGGGGGGACAAAAAGAAGAACCGCTCACCGGGGCATCCATAAAGGCATTAAGGGACCGCGGCGGCGCGAATCGGAGGTCTTGGGTCCAGAATGGATGTGGCAGACCCGCAGCAGCTGGGCATGTTTACAGAGGGCGAGCTGATGTCGGTGGGGATGGACACATTCATCCACCGCATCGACTCCACCGAGGTCATCTACCAGCCCCGCCGCAAGCGGGCGAAGCTCATTGGCAAGTACCTGATGGGGGACCTGCTGGGGGAGGGGTCCTACGGCAAAGTGAAGGAGGTGCTGGACTCGGAGACGTTGTGCAGGAGAGCCGTCAAAATCCTCAAGAAAAAGAAGTTGAGAAGGATCCCCAATGGGGAAGCCAACGTAAAGAAGTAAGTGTGGGCTTCTTGGTCTACCCAGCTTTGGGGGTCCCGGGGTGCTCCAGGGTCGTCCTCCCTCCCTCCTTCCCTTCCTCCCTCCTTCCCTTCTTCCCTCCTTCATTTCCTTTTTTCCCCTACCCTGTTCCTTCCTTCCTCCTTTCCTTCCTTTTCTCCTCCCTCCCTTCCTTCCTTCCTTCCTTCCTTCCTTCCTTCCTTCCTTCCTTCCTTCCTTCCTTCCTTCCTTCCTTCCTTCCTTCCTTCCTTCCTTCCTTCCTTCCTTCCTTCCTTCCTTCCTTCCTTCCTTCCTTCCTTCCTTCCTTCCTTCCTTCCTTCTTCCTTCCTTCCTTCTTCCTTCCTTCCTTCCTTCCTTCCTTCCTTCCTTCCTTCCTTCCTTCCTTCCTTCCTTCCTTCCTTCCTTCCTTCCTTCCTTCCTTCCTTCCTTCCTTCCTTCCTTCCTTCCTTCCTTCCTTCCTTCCTTCTTCCTTCCTTCTTCTCTTCCTTCCTTCCTTTCCTTCCTTCCTTCCTTCCTTCTTCTTCCTTTCTTCCTTCCTTCCTTCCCCTCTTCCTTCTTCCTTCTTCTTCGTTCCTTCTCCTTCTTCCTTCTTCCTTCTTCCATTCCTTCTTCCATTCTTCCTTCTTCCATTCATTCTTCTTCCTTCCTTCGTTCCATTCATTCCATTCTTCCATTCCTTCTTCTTCTTCGTTCATTCGTTCGTTCCTTCCTTTCATTCTTCTTTGTTCTTCCTTCTTCTTCTTCTTCTTCTTCTTCTTCATTCGTTCTTCCTTCTTCTTCTTCCTTCTTTCTTTCTTCTTCCTTCGTTCTTCCTTCATTCTCCATTCTTTCGTTCTTCTTCGTTTCATTCGTTCCTTGTTCGTTATTCTTCGTTCATCTTCTCTTCGCCTTATTTTCTTTCCTTTCATTCTTCATTCTTCTTCTTTCCATTCGTGTCTTCCTTCATTCCTTCTTCTTCGTTCCTTCTTCTTCCTTTCTTCCATTCTTCTTCTCTTCCATTCTTGTTCCATTCTTCTTTCATTCTTCGTTCTTCATCGTTCTTCATTCTTCCTTCGTTCTTCATTCGTTCATTCCATTCTCCATTCCATTCCATTCATTCGTTCGTTCTTCCATTCTTCTTCCATTGTTCCTCATTCCTTCATTCCTCTTCTTCTTTTTTTTCTTTTTTGTTCCATTCTTCTTTCTCCATTCGTTCCATTCGTTCTTTCCTTCTTTCTTCCTTTTCCTTCCTTTTTTTTATTTTTCCTTCTTATTTCTTCTTCTTCTTCCTTCATTCTTCCATTCCATTCATTATTCCATTCTTCATTCCTTCATTATTCATTTTTTCTTTCTTCGTCATCCATTCTTCGTTCATTCCATTCCATTCATTCATTCCATTCTTCTTCATTCATTCTTCTTTTCTTATTCCATTCTTATTCTTCCATTCATTCTTCATTCTTCCATTTTCCTTCTTCATTCATTCCATTCATTCTTCTTCCTTCGTTTCCATTCGTTCTTCGTTCCATTCTTCGTTCCATTCTTCATTTTCTTCCTTCTTCCATTCATTCCATTCTTCCATTCTTCTTCTTTTCCTTCTTTTCTTTATTCCTTCATTCCATTCTTCTTCGTTCTTCCATTCCATTCGTTCTTCCTTCTTCTTTTCTTCGTATTTTCATTCTTCTTTTCTTCTTTTCCTTCATTCCTTCATTCGTTCCTTCCTTCTTCATTCCTTCCTTCCTTTCATTCCGTTCTTCATTCCTTCGTTCCTTCTTCTTCCTTCCTTCCTTCTTCCTTCCTTCTTCCTTCCTTCCTTCTTCATTCTTCATTCCTTCTTCATTCTTCATTCCTTCGTTCCTTCCATTCCTTCCTTCCTTCCTTCGTTCTTCGTTCCATTCATTCCTTCATTCCATTCGTTCATTCCTTCTTCTTCATTCATTCCTTCTTCTTCGTTCTTCTTCCTTCGTTCCTTCGTTCGTTCATTCTTCGTTCTTCTTCCTTCATTCCTTCTTCTTCCTTCTTCCTTCCTTCCTTCATTCCTTCCTTCGTTCCATTCCTTCATTCTTCCCTTCCTTCGTTCGTTCCTTCCATTCCTTCCTTCATTCTTCATTCGTTCATTCATTCCATTCCTTCCTTCCTTCCTTCTTCTTCTTCCGTTCGTTCCTTCATTCCTTCCTTCTTCATTCCTCAGTTCCTTCATTCTTCCTTCCTTCGTTCCATTCATTCGTTCTTCGTTCTTCATTCATTCCTTCATTCGTTCTTCGTTCCATTCATTCCATTCGTTCCGTTCGTTCCATTCCTTCGTTCGTTCCTTCTTCGTTCCATTCGTTCATTCCATTCGTTCTTCGTTCCTTCCGTTCATTCCTTCATTCCTTCATTCGTTCCTTCCTTCTTCATTCTTCTTCCTTCGTTCCTTCGTTCGTTCATTCCATTCCTTCCTTCGTTCGTTCGTTCCTTCCGTTCTTCGTTCCTTCCTTTTCCTTCGTTCCTTCCTTCTTCATTCCTTCTTCATTCTTCGTTCCTTCCTTCGTTCCTTCCTTCCTTCGTTCGTTCTTCATTCCTTCCTTCGTTCCTTCTTCCTTCCTTCATTCCTTCGTTCCTTCGTTCCTTCCTTCTTCATTCCTTCATTCATTCCTTCGTTCGTTCCTTCATTCCATTCCTTCCTTCGTTCCTTCCTTCGTTCCTTCATTCCTTCATTCCTTCCTTCGTTCATTCCTTCATTCCATTCTTCATTCGTTCCTTCCTTCATTCATTCCTTCTTCGTTCCTTCCTTCGTTCCTTCTTCTTCGTTCCATTCATTCATTCCATTCGTTCATTCCTTCCGTTCCATTCTTCCCTTCGTTCCTTCATTCCTTCGTTCTTCATTCTTCATTCCTTCGTTCATTTCATTCCCTTCCTTCTTCTTCATTCCTTCCTTCTTCTTCATTCCATTCATTCATTCCTTCATTCATTCCTTCCTTCCATTCGTTCTTCCTTCTTCCTTCCTTCTTCTTCTTCGTTCCTTCCTTCGTTCCTTCGTTCCTTCTTCCTTCTTCGTTCCATTCCTTCTTCCTTCTTCATTCCTTCCTTCATTCATTCCTTCATTCCTTCGTTCATTCCTTCATTCGTTCCTTCCTTCCTTCCCTTCCTTCCATTCTTCGTTCGTTCCTTCATTCGTTCCTTCCCTTCGTTCTTCCTTCTTCATTCCTTCCTTCATTCATTCCTTCATTCCTTCATTCCATTCGTTCATTCCATTCCTTCGTTCTTCCTTCCATTCCATTCGTTCTCATTCATTCCTTCTTCTTCTTCATTCATTCCTTCATTCCTTCTTCCTTCCTTCATTCGTTCTTCTTCCATTCCTTCTTCTTCCTTCTTCTTCCTTCGTTCCTTCTTCCTTCATTCCTTCATTCCTTCATTCTCTTCATTCCATTCCTTCATTCATTCCTTCATTCATTCATTCTTCTTCCTTCTTCATTCATTCCTTCTTCCTTCTTCTTCTTCGTTCATTCATTCGTTCGTTCCTTCGTTCATTCGTTCTTCTTCCTTCTTCTTCGTTCGTTCCTTCGTTCCTTCTTCGTTCCATTCCTTCCTTCCTTCCTTCGTTCTTTCTTCCTTCATTCCTTCCTTCTTCCTTCCCTTCCTTCTTCGTTCATTCCTTCCTTCCTTCATTCGTTCTTCATTCGTTCCTTCCTTCCCTTCCCTTCGTTCTTCCGTTCGTTCCTTCATTCTTCATTCCATTCTTCATTCCATTCTTCTTCTTCATTCGTTCCTTCGTTCCTTCCTTCTTCCTTCCTTCATTCCGTTCGTTCGTTCCTTCCTTCTTCGTTCTTCGTTCATTCGTTCGTTCGTTCCTTCGTTCGTTCGTTCATTCGTTCCTTCGTTCGTTCTTCCTTCCTTCGTTCCTTCCTTCGTTCCTTCATTCTTCATTCCATTCCTTCGTTCGTTCTTCCTTCCTTCGTTCCTTCATTCTTCGTTCTTCATTCCTTCATTCCTTCCTTCCTTCCATTCCATTCCTTCCTTCCATTCCTTCATTCCATTCCATTCTTCTTCCTTCCTTCTTCTTCATTCCTTCTTCATTCATTCGTTCGTTCCCTTCCTTCTTCTTCATTCCTTCATTCGTTCCTTCTTCCTTCCCTTCGTTCGTTCATTCCTTCCTTCCTTCCTTCCTTCCTTCCTTCATTCCTTCCTTCTTCCTTCCTTCTTCCCTTCATTCTTCTTCATTCCTTCATTCGTTCCTTCTTCCTTCTTCGTTCCTTCTTCCTTCCTTACTTCTTCTTCCTTCCTTCCTTCCTTCCTTCTTCCTTCTTCCTTCTTCTTCTTCCTTCCTTCTTTCGTTCCATTCTTCATTCCTTCTTCATTCCTTCATTCTTCATTCTTCGTTCCTTCCTTCTTCTTCCTTCCTTCTTCCGTTCATTCGTTCGTTCATTCGTTCTTCGTTCCTTCGTTCGTTCATTCTTCCTTCGTTCGTTCTTCCTTCGTTCCTTCATTCGTTCATTCATTCGTTCGTTCTTCCTTCCTTCTTCTTCGTTCCTTCGTTCGTTCCTTCTTCTTCTTCCTTCGTTCGTTCCTTCGTTCGTTCCTTCCTTCGTTCCTTCCTTCTTCGTTCTTCCGTTCGTTCGTTCGTTCGTTCATTCCATTCCTTCGTTCCTTCCTTCGTTCCTTCGTTCGTTCCTTCGTTCGTTCGTTCGTTCCCTTCGTTCGTTCGTTCCGTTCCTTCCTTCATTCGTTCATTCGTTCGTTCGTTCTTCATTCCTTCCTTCGTTCCTTCCTTCCTTCGTTCGTTCGTTCGTTCGTTCTTCGTTCGTTCGTTCGTTCGTTCGTTCGTTCCCTTCCTTCGTTCCTTCGTTCTTCCTTCGTTCTTCGTTCTTCGTTCGTTCTTCCTTCCTTCGTTCGTTCCTTCCCTTCCTTCCTTCGTTCTTCATTCTTCCTTCGTTCCTTCCTTCCTTCGTTCGTTCTTCATTCGTTCCTTCGTTCCTTCCTTCTTTCCTTCTTCGTTCGTTTCCTTCGTTCTTCTTCTTCTTCCTTCGTTCGTTCCTTCGTTCCT